GGGTGCCACATGACGGAGTGAGATCCCATCTCTAGTTCCAGCTCCTGCCAACCTAGCAGTTCGAAAGCAAGAAATTGCAAGTAGATAAATAGGTACCACTTCGGTGGGAAGGTAACAGCGTTCCGTGCGCCTTGGTGTTTAGTCATGCCGGCCACATGACCACGGAAACGTCTTCGGACAACACTGGCTCTTCGGCTTTGAAACGGAGATGAGCACCGCATCCCTAGAGTCGGATTCGACTGGCTTTCGAGCAAGGGAACCTTTACCTTTACCTTTACCCCGCATTGGTCAGGCTGCACCTGGGGTACTGTGTGCAGTTCTGGAGGCCTCACTTCAAAAAGGATGTGGACAAAATGGAGCACGTGCAGAGGAGAGTGACGAGGATGATCGGGGGCCTGGAGACCAAGCTCTGTGAGGAAAGGCCGAGGGACTGTTTAGGCTGGAGAAGAGGAGGTTGAGGGGGGACATGATAGCTCTCTTGAAGTATTCGAAGGGCTGTCACTTAGAGGAGGGCAGGGAGGTGTTCCTGTGGGCAGCAGAGGATAGGACTCACAAGAATGTTTAAATTAAGGGCAGGAAGGTACCTGCTGGATATTAGGAAAAACTTTTTGATAATCAGAGTTGTTCAAGAGTGGAATCAGCTGCCTAGGGAGGTGGTGAGCTCCCCCTCACTGGCAGTCTTCAAGCAGCGGCTGGACAAGCACTTGCCAGGGATGCTCTAGGGTGATCCTGCAATGAGCTGGGGGTTGGAGTAGGTGGCCTGCATGGGGGTTGCAGTAGGTGGCCTATATGGCCCCTTCCAGTCCAATTCTACAATTCTTCTGTGATTCTATGAAACATGCTGTTGCAAATCCTTACCCAAAACAGATCACAGACCCTTCCCCCCAAGCCCACTGGTAATTCAGATCACAAAAGCGCTCAACCATATTCCAGGTTGCAATACCATAAAAGTTAAAAAAAATAATAATTAAGTGCACTATGTGCTGTGCTGTCCTGTGCTGTCATTTTGAAGACGTTCTTAGGTCTTATGGCTACTGTGTGATCTGTGCCTGTGAAAATTACAGACGCCAGAAAAACTGCTGCCTGGAAAACTTACAGGTATCGAAATTTTTCCTCCAGTAGAGGTAAAAGAGGATAGGAGCGGAGCTGTTATTTTTTTCTTTTTAAAATTTTCTTCAGGGAGAAAAGGGCAGGGGAAGAAAAGTTAATATGTCCCCACACTGTTCTCCTTGATAAAACAGTAAGGGCCACTATATTTGCAAAAAAACACCAAAAAAAAGGTGTATGTGTGTGTGGGGAAAGGAATTGCAACATGCAGTTGAGCACAGGTTGCCAACCTCCAGGTGGAGTGTAGAGATTTCCTGGTATTGCAACTGATCTCCACAGATCAGTTCCCCTGGAGAAAAATGGCTGCTTTGAAGGGCGACCTTTATGGCATTGTACCCAGCTGAGGTCCCTCCCCTCCCCAAAACCCACCTACCCCAGGCTCCCCCCTCCCAATCTCCAGGTATTTCCCAACCCAGAGCAGGCAAACCTAACACACAGGGGGGAGAGGGGAGGCTAGGAAAAAGAACAGGGCTGAAAAGGACGATGTCTCTTACCAAAACATTGTCTCTGAGCATGTGCAAAATGCTTTCTGCCCTTAAGTACATCCCGCCCCGCATCCCACCCTCCGGGGATTCGGGGCGTCGCTTTGCTAGCAGCTCGGGGTCTTGGCTCCTCCCTTGGTAAAGTAATCACCGCCTGCCCCAGAAGCGGCTGGAGAGACCGTCTCAGGCAGGCAACGCCAGAGGCGGAACAAGGGGCGGGGCTTGTTTGTGTTTAGCCCCGCCCCCTCGCAGCGCAGCCGGCACCTGCCGGCGATTGCCAGTCAGACGATCCAAAGGCTTCAACGCCGGCCGCAGCCGAACTAAAGCCGAGCGCCCCCTCCCAGGTACCGTAATTCCCTCTATTTTCGCGCGCGCAAAGAAAAGTTCGAAGTGTCGCGCACGCCCCGGTGGCGGGAGCCGAGAGCGAATATAGATGCTTTAAGCATCGCTCCTACGAGTTTGTTTTACACCCCCCGGTTCCTTTTTGGAGCCCGATCCTAGGTATGTTTTACTCGTTAATGCCATTACGTAATGGGGTTTACTCCCACGTAAAGCGTTGCAGCCCGATCCTAGGCACGTTGCTTGTAAATGCCCTTATGTAATAGGGTAAAAAAGGGTTGCAGCCCGAGCATACGCAAACTGCTAATTCGGAGGCAAGTCCCACAGACCGCAGCGGTTGACTCTCCAAGGCCATAGGATCGCAGCCTCCTTTTCTCTCTCTCCCGCGTTCTTTTCGCGTTTCTCCTTTGGACGGTGCCTGGCAGTTGTCTGGCTAGCCTTAATCCCCCCTGGGCTGCGGAGGCAGGAGATATCCGATCTCTTTCGAGAACTGTGCGTAGATCAGAAGGGTTTAGGAGCGACTCCTGCGGCTCGCCAAGGAGCCTTCGGAGTTCGTGGTGAGGTCGGATGAGCTCTTGGCTGGGGTGGGATCTGATGGTCGCCGGTTCGAGCCGGAGCGTTTTGCAAGGCTTACTGCAAGCCAGCGGCTTTCCGGGTCTCCTAATATGGGGATTCTCTTGGGCGGATGGTCGGGCTGAAAGTCGAAAATACAGGCAAGGGATCCACTCCTTTCACGTACGTTTTCCGGCCCGTTCCTCCTTTATTTTGAGTTGATGCGATCACAGCGTTCCAGGTTTTTGCGATCAGGCCACTCCCTGCTTGGATCCGGTTGGCGGTCCCCGGAGCATTTTTTGGAAGCGACACTCCGATCTCATACTCTAGCCCCTTGAAAAAGAAGACGTCTCGGAGTCAGGGGGCTCCGTGGGCTTTACTTTCTCTCTGGCAGGTATGCTGAGTATCATCAGTGGGGTTTTCCTTTGAGATGGGAACGTGGCCTCCTGCAGAATTCATTGCGTTACCGGAAAGACAGGCGGTCCAGATGCATTGGGTTGGGACTCTTTCCCAAGCGGTGGCCTGCAGTCCTATACTTGCTTACCTGGGAGTAAGTCGCACTGAACACCGTGGAACTTAGCCTCTGAACAGCTATGAATAGGATTGGGTTGTTGAACTAGCAAAGTGTATGGTGAGGTTGCATGTGAGCGATTTTCTCTTCTGGAAAAAAGAGCTCTGTGGAACCCCCAGGTTTGCACACTTCTTGCCTTTTTTTTTGTTTTGTTTTTTTACACTTCTTGCCTAACCTAGACAAAAACAGCAGCTTCATCTTTTGTACCTTTTGTGCATGCACACACACAAAAGAGCCCAACTAAAGGAACAAACCCATGCAGGATGTTCAAAGCGCTCTTGGGCTGCGATCACACACTCTAAATGATCCACTTTCAACCCACTTTCGAATTGGATTTTGCCGGTTCACACAGTAAAACCCAGTTGGAAAGTGGATCGGAAGTAGATTATTTAGTGTGTGGGTGATCACAGCCTTTTGGGAACTTGTCTCCACCAGAGACAGTTCTCCAGCTGCAAAGAAGACTAGGGCTTCCGTCCCCTCTGGAGTAGTGTGGAAGAATGAACCCCAAGCAGCTGGTCTTGCAGGGGGGGGGGTCAGCAATGCTCAACAGTCACATGTGCTGGGAGCCCTGGCTTCTTTCCACGCAGCATCATCTGTGGTACCCCGACCTCAGGACTTCGCAGCTGGCTGGAACAGTACTTTGAAAGTACTTTGCTGTGCCTTTCTGCCATTTGGGAACGAGAGCATAAAATATTCAAAAGTTAATGATTTTTCTTTTCTCGGGGAACCACAGAGCAGGCACCGCTTGTGCTTCTTTTTCCATATTAGTTTATTCTCTTCCCTCCCCTCCCACCAAGTAAAAGGAGGACATAGTGTCGTGCCTTTTCTTTAAGGGGCATGAGGAAGGTAGACCAAAGTAGGGGTGCGGCTGGTGGCTCATTGTGGAATGTGCGTGTAGGGGGGGGGGAGAGACTTGCATTCATTTGAGTGCTGCTGACAAAGTGCATTTAAATGTCCTGAAAAGTGTCGTCCTGGAGTTGCCAGCTTTTTTGTTAGCCTTGCACCTTCGCTTTTTTTTTTAGCAGTGAGAGCCGTGGTGGGTAGTGGTCAGAGTGTTGGACTGTGATCTGGGAGGCCCATGTTCAAATTCTCATTTGGTGATGAAACTCACTGGGAAGAACCCACAGACAATTTACAGGGTGGTTGTGAGGATAAAATGGGGGAAGGAGGAATAACGTATGCCACCCTGCACTCCTGGGAGGAAGGGGGTGGGATACAAATGTGATGTATAAGACCCTCTGTCGGGAGGCTCACTGGGTGACCAGTCATTCCCTCTCAGCCTAACCTATCTCACAGGGTTGTTGTGAGGATAAAAAGGGGGAAGGAAAAATCATGCACACCACCCTGAGAGGGGCAGAAGTATAGGATAAAAATGTGCTTGACTAATGTGCAGAAATTAAGCTTGTCCTGGCACGGAGATAAAGTGAAGGAATAAAGTTTTGCCTGTTGGATTGCCATGGGTTCAGCCTGGAGTTGAAAGTGTGCACATTTCTCTGGATAGGAACCTATCCCACACTCCAGACACAATAAAACTAACTAGTACTTGTTTCCCTGATGACTCTGACAGTATAATCAAGGTCCCTTGTCTCCAAATGGCTTTTGGAAGATGCCACAAGTTCTCTTTCCCCCCCTTGCTGCAACAGATCAATATGGATAGGTCAGTGGATTTTGCACCCAGAGCACTATCTGTATGACAGCCTGACCCTCTTCAGGTTTAAAGCTCCCCACCCCACCGCACCCCGCCAAAGTTCAGAGGACTTACTTTCAGGTAAGCATGCCTAGATTGTAGCCAGAGCGAGTTAAAGCTACAGTGCTGATTGCATGATGAATTTAGAATTTAACAGCCTTTGAATGACATTTATAATAAAACAAACATGTAATTTGTGATTCACTTCCATAGCATGCTTAGGGCTGGCTCATGCTAGCCGGTGACTGCTCGGGGAGTGCAGTGGCAAGTGATGATTCGCATGCCATCGCTGACCAAACCCCAGAATTATAACTTTCGTGTCCCTTGATGCCGCTTCACACATAGTGTTTTCTCAGTGGAGACGGTTCATGCGTTCTTATTGACCACCAGTAAGTATGAGGGTAATTAGAGGCTGAGACAGCCAGCGATTTACATGCTTGTGTGAACCAGCCCCTTAACGGGAATCATTCTTTACTCCAATGTCTGTGGGATTGCCTCTCCTGGTATACCCCGAGAAGAGCCTTACACTCTGGAGAGAAAACCCTTCTAGTGATCCCTGGCCCAAAAGATGCCCAGCTGACCTCAACCAGAGCCAGGGCGTTTCGGCATCTGTGCCCTGCGGGACTTGGCACAGTTCTACAGGGCCTGTGAGACGTTCCACCAGGCCTATGGTTGAGGACAGCAATGGTTTCCATCATGCCTGGCCTCTCCCTTTTTCTCCTCTGCCCTCCCTTATGTGGTAAGGACACGGCTTGGTCTTGTAATAGCTATTGGTTTTTCCTGTCATTTATTGAAATGCTGTTCACCGCCCTGAGCCCTTCATGTAGGGGAGAATGGTCTATAAATGGAATAAATAATTTAAGCCAGGGGCTGGGACCCTCCAATGGGTTGCAGAGACGAATCTGCTGGATCATAAGCCCCCACAGAGATGCCATGATTTTTTTGTTGTTAGTCTTCAGAAGGACCTGCTGCCAGTGTGCGTGCACGGAGACCAAGGGTGCCACTGCCCTGCCTCCTGCCTCTCTTTGCATGCACACTCTGGGGCGCAGCGGGAAGGCCAGTCAGTGGTAGAAAGCATTCCTCTGTGGCTCTAACCCTTGGCGTGTTCCTCACTATGGTACTCTTCCTAGTACTCAACTTGCTTTTCCTGTCTCTGGCTTTCTTGGTCCCTTATCTGTTGTTCTGGCCTTGATAGCAACAAGTTTATCACTCGGGCTCCGCCTCTTCCTGTCACATGTCTCTGATAGTGATTACTGATAAGTGGGTTCTGTGCTGTCACCTAGAGGTTAAAGGTGTATCTTGGGCTTTGAAACTTGAAGGGCACGGCTCCGTAGTAAATTTGGCATGACCATTGGTAAGGAAGCACATAGACTCTGATGGAATGAAGCAGGGGTCATTTCCTGCAGGAGCGCACAGGAGTGGAGCTCCGGCAGTAAAGAGCCCAGGGGGCGAGCACGTGCAACCAGCCCCCCCTGCTCCCAGCAGCCCTCAGTCAGAGCAAGAAGCAGCCAGCTAAGCTGCAGAGCCTCCCCCATCCGGCCCCCTGGTCCAAAACAGTCCAGTGGCACCTTTAAGACCAAGTTTTATTCAGGTACAAGCTCTCCCTCCTCTGCGAGGACAGATCTGCACGTCCCCCCCCCCCATAGCTAGCAATCCAAACAGTCCAGTGGAGCCTGAGTGGTGGGTGTTGCCTTCTGACACACTTCCGGTGATGTCAGGGGGTGTGGCATATGCAAATAAGTTATGCTAATGAGTTATGCTAATGAGCTCCTGCACCTCTTTTTCTACGAAATGACCCCTGGTATGAAGTCACTAATTGCGGTAACTGAGGAAGAAATATGCTTCCTGAAAGGGTCCTCTAAGGTTCGCCTCGGACTTTTGTCTTCTTGTCTTATTGCTGTGGGCAGAAGTGCCCACTGGGCTGCCCCATACCCCTCCCTGTGGTTGTAATGCCAGAGAAGCTAGGCTAAGTTTCTGAGGTAGAAGTCCTTGTCATTCCAAAGAAAGTCCCCCTAAAAATCAATAGGACTTAAACCTAAGGCAACGTGGTTAAGCTGCAAGCCCCAGACAATTTAGTGGGCTGGAATTTGTGGCCAGGTCTCCTCAGCTGAAGTGTATCATTTTATATAGCAGAGTGAGATGGCTTTTCCTTTTGGTTCCTAGCAGTTCGTACATTTTACTTTATGGTTTATTCA